ATTATGCACAACTGGACTCTTTAATCATGTTGCTCTCAATACTAATTTACTAAAAAATCATATATATATATATATATATATATATATATATACAATAAATTCTTTTACTGAAAGTATTTTTATAACATTGGAACTCACTCTAGGGGCATTCTGTCATGATCTTCAAGTATGGTTAAACCGGCCTGTACAATGCACGTCGAAGTCAGAGCGTATGCAGGTTCTAAAAAAGAATATTGTTAATTTTGTTATACATTAAGCAATATGCGAAGTGCTCTGTAATCACTATCCAAAATATACAATTTCGAAATCTTTGTCAAAAAGGAAATGATAAAACGTACTCAAGAGTTTTTTTTCATTTATTTTAAATTGATATTTCTGTCAGAGAAAAGAAACTAAATACAATATTTGTCTCAAGCAAAAACAAAAAAAGTCTTTTGAGATAAATTTAACAAGTTATTTTGAAGTTGCTTCCGAAATGAACTGGAAAAGGAGAATAAAATATACCCTTACTCTTCCCCAATCCACTTAGCAATTATATACAAAGTTTGCAAGAATTAATAAAGAAAATAAAGTTAATAAAAAAACATTTTAGATTTTCCCCTTTATTATAAGCGTTCTCGAGTGTAGAAAATAATTTTTAATCAAAATGTTTTATGTCAAGAAATAAATCGTTAGCGTGTGAGGCTTTACATTGTCAAAATACTTTAGTCTCCTTCTTTTGTACGCTTAAAATAAAAAGATTCTTGTTTTCAATAGAATTTCTTTCACTTTTGAAAATCATTGTGATAAATAATGTTTTTCTAGATCAGATGTACATCATGGTACAAATGAAAATCTCAAATCGGACAATCACATCGGTACAAAGGTAGTATTACTTTATCAATGTTTGCAATTATAAATATTCTAAATATCTATATATCTGTAAATTTGGCATTCTAAATATTTGAGATAAAATATTTATTATCAATGAGGGAAAAAATACTTTTTGTAACAAAATCGAAAAACAATGACAAATCTATTCGTATAAAACGCCTTGGATATGGTGATAAGCATTGTGAATAACATTGTAAGCTTTGATAAGCATATTGTATTATGACATTATCAGCATATTCATTTCTCACTCTTATTTCGACTATTGATTATCGAATTAATTTAGGTGTATTTTGAGTTTGAAGTTCAATTTTCATCAATGGCAGATGAAAACAATGCCCAAGATTCCTACATGCGTTTAGTATCTCTTTTATTTATAATTAATATAATAAGAAACCCCAAATTATTTATTTAAAATAAAACAGTTATTTTTCTTCGAATAACCCTACAAAATACAAAAATTATTTCTACAATTAGGAAGTGCAGAGCTGAATACTTATAAAATTCTAAGACATGCTGATTATAGGATGGTGCCAATTCATAAAGCATTAATTGCGAAGTATTTTGGGTGGAAGAATTAAGTTTTTTTCTTGAATTTTTCCTTTGTTCAAATTCATTTTCGAACTATAAAATGTAGTTGGGTAACGTGGTTATTCATCAAATTAAAAGTTATAACTTACTAAGTAACATCGGAACTTATTGAACTTATTCTAGCTTTTAGTGGTTAAGAACTAACAGGGCATGTAGCACCTAGAACGTTTCAAGCTATTCGAAAATCTTGCTGACTTTTTATAAACATAGAAACTTTGAGGTTAAGAATTAAAAAAATTTGTGTATTAATTTTTTATTTTGGAAACATAATTTTTCAAAAAACAAGAGTTTTGAAGAAAAAAAAGAAAAAAAAAATCACCGCGGTTTTGACAAATAAGCGATGTTAGTAGTGTAAAATTATAACGAAATTTAAAAAACGCGTGATTAAAGAACGGTTTTATTTCCTCCGACGGTACAAAATCCGATCGTTGTTTTGTACTGGCTTTGTTTGCAATTAAACTGCTTTCGAAGTATTTAGTATTAATCAATAGAATAAAAGCGGTTCTTCATCACGAGAATGTCAAACCTCACACAGGGGAAAGAATCAAGGAAATGAATAATGCACTTGATTGGTATGTTTTAACACATCTTCCCATCCTCTTCATCAAAACCATCATCTGTTTCTGTTTATGAATAACTATTTATATAAACTACAGTACCGTTGATGTTATGCAGGCCAAAGAACAATATTTCGGTTCAAGAGACACGAAAATTTACGTGAGTTTGCATATTACTTTGTGAATCTGTAACTAAAGGAGATTATTTCGCTTAATAAAATGCTCAGGATGAAATAATATTTTATTTCTTACTTGTACTAAGTGGTGGGTAAAAGCTTACTAAGCTTCAGATCAACAAGTACAAGCGTTTCTGGGTAATTAAAAAGGCTGGTGCACAATGCTGACCAAATTACCACCCTCATGCCATTGGTGTCATAATTGTGGAACTTTAATTTCTACGACTCGCCTCGGCCAATAACTGTATGTTTTGGAAGTGCTTTACTTTTATTTTTCATTGATTAATACGGCGCGTTCTTCGGATATCTGAATTGCTGGAATTGCTTTACTTTTATTTTTCATTGATTAATACGGAGGGCTCTTTGGATATCTGAATTGTTGATCTAAATTTTTTTTCAGGGTTCAAACTCTGAGAATGTGTAAATATTTTTAATATCTGGTAAATATCAAATAAATAAAAAAAAATAAAAATTAAATATCTTGTGAATATTAAATTACCATCCTCATGCCGTTGGTGATTTAATATTTACTAATATTACATAATTGTAGAACTTTAATTTGTACGACCCGCCTCGGCCAATAACTGTATGTAATGGAAGTGCTTTACTTTTATTTTTCATTGATTAATACGGCGCGTTCTTCGGATATCTGAATTGCTGGAATTGCTTTACTTTTATTTTTCATTGATTAATACGGAGGGCTCTTTGGATATCTGAATTGTTGATCAAATTTTTTTTTCAGGTTTCAAACTCTGAGAATTTGTAAAAATTTTTAATATCGAATAAATATTAAGTAAATAAATAACCAGATCCTTCAATGATGAGTTTCATTTTCAAATCAGGTTTTGTGGTACGTCGTTCATTTGGATCTGAGGGCTTGTCCTTCCATCCTTGACCATAGAATGTTACTCTAGTAGTTCCTTCCATGACCTGCATATTTTTTTTAAAAAAAAAATTATTATTTAAAATAATTATTTTCAATTAGAAATTAAATCTGGAAACATAAGCACAATTAAAATAAATAAATAAATATTTTGAATTTACTTGTTGGCGAGTTGGTCCAGCATTGGAAAACTTACCGGCAGTGAAAAATGATGGATACTGTAAAATGAAATTTAGGTTATTAGTTTTCAAAAATAGAATGCATGAGACTAAAAATATAAAACCAACTAAAACCAGCAAATGATCTATAAAACCAAATTAAATACTTTATTTCAGAAACAGTATACTGCCCGTTTATTTTTTTAAAATTTTTTCCAACTTTTAATTTTTTATTTAGAATCAAGAACATCATAGGAAATTTTGCTATTTTTTTCAAAAGCTTCTCTTTAGTTTTTATTTTACTTCATTCAGTTTTTCTCCATCTCGTTTTATAAAATTTTCCACCACATTCCATTTTTTTTCTCACAAGTAAACGAATTCCCGTTTCTATTTGCAATAATTTAAAAAAAAAAAAATACTTAGTCGCAATTGAATGCCTGCAAGAGACGTTATTGCGGGTAAATCATGGCATTTGTCGACACACCCGCATGACGTTTCTTTCAGGCATCCAATTTGTCTTAAATCACATGTTTAGGTCTAATCAATTCACTTCCTCTGGTATGCAAGTACCCAATTAAATTAAGAAAAACAAGAAATAAATTAATTTCTGTTTAAGTCACTAACCTAAACAATAATTTTGAAAAGGTTTGTTTATTAAACACGAGCGTGGGCATCATAATGAAAATATTTTTAAATGCTACCATCAACACTTTAAATCACTAAATAATTTATTTCTGGAATTGATACAATATTATTCAGTAATTTTTATTTTTAATCGTTTTTTCAGCTACTTTAAGAATAAGTAAACTGAAAATTGATTATTTTGCACAAAAATAGTGATGAACAAGTAATACCAACTTTAATTTAACAAGGACTTAAAAGTGAAAGTAACAAGAGAATTAATGTATTATATGCCTATTCCCACTATTTTTAGCAAGAGTTTATAGAAACTTATTGCTTACTTTTAATTGCTATAAACTTTATTGCCTTTTAGTAATGAGCACATATTTTAAAGGAAATATGTTTCTAAGAGAAATTATTACAAATGTCTTCTTTCTTTCTCAATTTCTCGGAAATCAAAAACATCTGCCATCAATTTGCTCTGTCAAGATAATTATTTCATTAATGATAATTGGTAATATCAAACCTTTGCAAGGAGACTTCGTCCACATCCACAAATAGTCATAATAGCTAGATACATTGCTGCAAACATAAGACCTAAGCCAGAACAAAATGATTTTAATTTCAAGTATCCGTGATTCAAAATCTGAAAAACAAATAAATAAAATATGAATTACAATTTTAATTTTAGATTATTTTACGTATATTATATTTTATTTCATAATGAAATTAAAAAAAATATTTAAATTTTCTCCTTCTTTTTTCTTTTTCTTTTTTTTTATTTGAATACCTAATTAAAATAATTTGTCTTATGTTTTAATTTTGCTGGCGAACGTATACAAAATTTTATTTAAAGAATAATATAGTATACAAGTTTTAGTAATTATGTATTTAATTGTGGTTGAAAAAAACAATGTTTCAAACGTTTCCTTCATAAACAGGTATACATGATGATGGAAAACATACTTTTTCATCATAAACAGGTATAATTTAGTTTATCAGGATATGCAAATTATAAAAATAAAAATATATAATGATGAGAAAAATTTACATAGCAATCATTTTCATACACCAAAATAAAGTGAAACGAATGAAATTAGAAAAAAAAATTAATTTATAGGAACGACTATATTAAGTTAATTCCTAAGAGTCGTTTTAAGTTTTATGAAAGCTTAAGTACATCTTTAAATAAATCTGAATGGTTATTAATAAATTATTATTAATTTTTATACACGTAATTTTGCATTAATTTATACATACGTGTTTTGAATAACATAAACAAGGTTACTGATATTGGGAGCCATACACTAGTCGTTGGGAGCCATACGCTCGTCGTTGGGAGCCATACACTCCCAATATCAGATTACTGATGGAGCCATTCACACATCACTTCTCTGTATCCCAAGTCTGTCAAACTTGCAGTTTCGTTTTCTTATAAAAAGTTGAACTTTTAGTTCTTTGTATAATTTATTGGCAAATTTCTTGTTGAATTTTTATTTTTTTGGTACTAATCTTTTACGGGAGGTAGCAGGAATTCCTTATACTATTGTAACTGCTTTCAATGGTACTTAATTATTTATTGTTATTGGAACTCCTGGTGTTGTGGTGAAAGGTATCTAATGTACTCAATATAGGTACCTAATATAGATACTGTGGTAAGAAATTTTCAACCCTTCCTTGGAGTGAGATAGCACCTTTTTTTCTTCTCAGATACAATTTTATTAGAAAGAGTGTTTCGGAACCAAAAAATATAATTTACTTACTGGTCTTTCATTTAAGAAATTATATCTAAATAATTGACTTCGCAGAATAACCCTCTCATCTGGTCCCAGAAACCAAAGTGCCCAGGCTCTTTCATCGGAACTATGGAATAGTGGTGGCTTCCTGTAAAAAAAAATATATATATATTTTGCTCAACGTCTATGTATTTTTACATATTACTAGCTTTGAACAATCATTCCACACATAAAATGTGACGTTCTTAATGTTCAACTTCGTTGCATAGCAATTTTGCTCCTAATCTAGTTGGGAACGGAAATTTTGGGTCAAATAATGGAGAAAAGGAACTTTATTTTAGAGGGGCTTTAGTGAAAACAATCCGCATTTACATTAAACAGAGAGAAAAAAACACGTTTACCATCTTCGATCGACCTGATGACAATGGGGCACTATTAGTAGTTCGCCCAACACTGGAAATTTTTTGTGCAAGCATTGTGATCAGTGTGAACTACGAGAAGTATAAGAATAAACCCGCGAATAACAAAATTTAAATATTTTACCATCGGCGTTAAATTCCTGATTCATATGATGGATATGGTATGCGATTTTTAATATAGTGATTCAGCTATTTTACTGACGTTCTCACACATTCACAAACGTGCGATCTGCAATGCAATGTTGAAACAGTTAATGAGCAGAACATACGTATATGAATGTGTGAGATGCATCACGAAAGTGCAAAAATTCTCTAATATTAAATTCCGTCTCATGGTAATTTTGAATTCAACCGGAAAAACAAAGAAACTCCGTGACCAAGAATTGCTATTAACTCTCATTTGTGAGAAACTTTTCGGATAAAATTAGTTCGCATTTGCGATATTGGATTAGAAAAATTATGAAAATATTCCACGGTTAGCAAGGTGACAATGGGAATCTAACTCATAGTCCAATGCAAATTACTGAAAATAACGATAAGAGATCCGAAAATTTAAATTTCAAATTTATCAGAATTATGAACTAAAACTTTCAATACTCGGTCATCATTAAAGTATGGACGTAATCACATGTTTACGGAATAATATTTTACATAAAAAAAACTAGGAAATTGTATATATTTTCCTAGTTTTAGAATGTATTATAAATTTCCTAGTTAGTAGAATGTATTATAAATGTATATATTATATGTTTAACTTGTTGGAAAGAGAGCTAAATGACGTGTGAATTTCTGTAAAATTTTTTCCTTCTAAATATATTATGTGTACTACGTAATTTAAATTTTTATTTTAATTTATAATTATTTTAAGAGCAATTGAGTAGTTTCAGCATCCAAGCAAGAGAAGTAAAATTATTTCATACCTCCATGGTAATGAATAATCAGTCTGAGGTAAATCCTTAGGAAACAAACTTTCTTTCAAAGCTCTATCTGCTCTTTTAACAAACATATGATCCCAAAAGGAGTAAATGGCAGATAAAAATGTTCCAATATTCATAACTTTACCCTATAAAAATGATTAAAGGAAGAATATTAAGTTCACATTTTTATGTGGGTAAAAACAGCTTCAAATAATTGCATTTTATATTAAAACAGAATGGTTTTAATTTTAATAAATAAATTACTCTCTATGAAACAGCTACAAAACAAAAATAACGCAACAAAATCTAATGACTAGATGCTTAAATGAATAGTTATAGTACATTTGTTGAGAATATTTAAATATTTCATAATTAGATATTTTTAATTTTATTTTTAATGCCCACCTGTGTTAACATTCGTAAATTCTGGCATTTACAGGGAAGATTGGTTGGTCACTTTTTCAAGGGCACCATATTAGGTGGGTCAACGTTGCTCCCACAGTAAGGACAGATAGTACAGAGAATGAAAGAACTTACATGCCTTTCCCGGGATTCGAACCCAGAACTTGTCTGATGATTGGTATACAAAGTTTGATTAGTAGTAAAATTACACATTTATTAGCTGAAATTTCTAATTTTTCAGTTCTTTGTCTCTTGGAATCGAAACAACATTTTGGAAAAATTTCTGATTGAAAATTCTTATTAGAAATGTTTTGGGTGTTGAACAGTTGTATCGTTTAAATTTACTTTAATATGGTGCTAAATTGAACCATATCATCAAGTTTCTTAAACTTGATTACAATACACTAGGATTCAAATTGAATGGAACCTCGCTTCAATTTACCACCTTATTAAAGTTGTAGCAAATTGCACTACATTACGGTTCAGGTGCCGACATTATGGTTCAACGTTTGGTCGATTTTTTTTGGTGAGTAAATGAATAATGACATCATCAGTTATGCGATTCTTCATGATATGGAAGACAGATGTTATTTAAATTTTCGATTTGTAACAAAAGGTAACTAGCAAAAATATTAGGCATTCTTAAAATTTTTTAAAATTATTTTTGAAGAGCTGTAAAAGGGAAAAAGTATAATATGCGACGAAGATGCTATACTCACCGATGGTCCCACACCAACGAAGGCGTAAAACTCAATCGAGTTTAAATCACCTGAAACACAACAACAAACATTATAATTCATATAAAGATTAGGCCTTATTGTTATGAACTCATTTAACTAATATTTCCACCATTAACCCCTTCTCTGTCGGTGTCGCAAATCATACGTTCGGCATATGTGTGCTAGTATGGTCGGCGTCGCATGCCATGCGACGAAGAGAAAAATTGCATCATCGAAATCGAATTTGTCGCTACTTACACGTTTCTTTGTATCCCGCGATTATTTTTGTTTCTCTAAATATTGATAAGAGATGGCGCAACTAGTACATCTTTCTTAACAATTTCCGCAATGAGATTTCTCACCTTGAACTGAAATCAAAATAATTTTGTACTTTAATTGAATTTTGCACTTTTTCTTTAATTTCGCTTTTATTAGTGTTACCGTTGCATGTCAAAATAGTTACTTATGTATTCAGAGAGTGAGTCCGAGGACAGTGAATTCATTATCTCTCAGTTAGAAGATGATATTTCTCATTTTTCAAGTGAAAATTGTTTTCAAAAACATATTTAATAATAATTATTTTCAATAATTATTCAAAAATTAATTCAATTATTCAAGAAATTCGATAACTATTTTATGCAGATGTTTATCTTAAACGCCTAAAAGCAAGAGTTAATAAATATGTTTTCACAGTGTATTTTTTTTTTTAAAGATAAAACTTGGGTGCACTGCAGGGAAAACTGGATATCAGTGGACGGGACATCATATATTTCACCACCAGCGAAAAACTGTTTGCTGACAAAAATATTTTACATTTTCTAATTTAGTATGGAACAATTCAAGCAATAATAAATTCTTGTTTTGGATCGGAAATTCGAAAAAATAAATAAATAAAAATCCGACTGTATTAGGCATAATACAGTCGTCAAAATCCGACTGTATAATTTATGTATTAGGCATAATTAAGTATCTGGTATAGATATATCTGAATATGGAGTGAACTTAAATGAAATTTACATTTTTGAAACTATTAAACAGATAAGTGAGACGCAAAATTTGTATAAAAATGTATAAATTTTTTTTCTCTATTATTTCGTGAACCTTTTATTACCGTCAGATGGGGTGACTCAGTGCAACGAGAGGCGACTTTGTGCAAACTGTCATTTTTTCAATTTTTGTGTCGTGCCATCTAGGGATATTTTTTTAAAGCTCGGTATCAACTGATTTGAGTTGTCAACATAACGAACTAATGGTTTACCAAGAACTGGCAATGTAAACATCATCGTTCTTGGAAAATTGTGAGCTCGAGTTGCAAACAGGTTCAAATTTTTTAACGTCGCAAAATAGGTGGCTGGAAAGTCTGCTGGGTTGAAGAAGTTCTAGTTATCCTGCCCAGGAAGGTAGGTTATACTTTAAAAGTCTTATCAATTGAGATAAAAAATTATGCATTAATTTTTTTTTTAGTTATTATAATGTTAATTATTTACTAATTAATAAAAAAAGTCCTGGGGTGACTTTGTGCAATTTTTTTTTCAGAGAAAAACATGCCAAAGACTTATAAAAGAAAGCCTGGAGCAAGAAATTATTGTGATTGCACCAAAGAAGCGTTAGAAAAGTGTTTGGCAGAAGTAAAAAATGGTTTATCCGTTTCAAAAGCGTCAAAAAAGTTCGGAATTCACCGAAACACGATTTCGAACAAAATTCATGCGAAGGATTCGAAATCTCACGGTGAGTATTATTTTTCATTTTCATATTGTTGTTTTTCAATTCAATTTCCATATGTTAATTGTTTAAGATATTTAATAAGAGACTGTTAATAAGAGAGGATCATTCCAAGTTGCAGAGTTGGAGGCAATTTGGGGGCGTTAAATGAGGGAATTCAATCAACTGTTCATTCATGTCAATTCATAGCAAAAGTCTGATTGTATCAGAAAATCAAAAAATAAGTTACCTAAGATTTAATTAATAAGAAAAATTCTAAAAATGTTAAAAAATCTAAAAATTAAAGTTTTTATGTTCATCTTAAGTAGATCTGTTAATACATAGTACATATTTATATGTAATATACTTGTATTGTACATTAACAATGTTATATATTGTTTATTAAACGATTTTAAGTCAAAGTGAATGAAAATAACTGAACTAAGTCAGTATTTTATTGCATTGCATCACCCCATCCCGGGGTGACTTCGCGCATTCGTCTAATTGATTGTTTACAAATAATAAACATTTCAAATCAGTTCTTAACTACGAGCAATTACTTCCCAGATGGCTAACAACAAATTTTAGATTAGATGCTGTGCAATTCAGCATCTTTTAACTATTTTTTCATTAGGTCAAAGTTAGAAAACTGAAAATTCCTGCACAAAGTCACCCCATCTGACGGTACATGACAGTCATTTATTCTATAATCAAGTTTGTTTCACACATTCTGTATTTTCTCCTTGTTAATGATGCCGAAAGAGGAAACACGGAGAAAAAATATAGTTAAAACAATAGAATATGGTAAAATTAGCCATACTTCTGGTTTTATAGGAACAACAAAAAAGCTTAGTAATTTTTACCGCAGCGCATTGGTACTGATTTTGTTAAAATTATCAACAAAATATGGTTTTTATAATAAGTGATAAAATTTTGTAAATGTGATAAAATTTGGTAATTTTATCATGATATCTTAGACAATTGGATAAGAACCATATTTATTCAGTTAAATTTATTTTTCAGTTTTGTATTGTTTACTATATACGTGATAATAAGAAGTATAATTTTGATATAAAAATATCAATTTTCAATTTTTTTGTCTCTTGCGTTAGTTTTAATATTTAGAATCAGTTACATATGTTAAGCATAGTGCACCTTCTTTTTTTCATCAATGCACACGGCATTTATTTTAGAAACAGCTCTAAAAATGCATTATAAGCAAAATAACAATTACTTTTTTAACCAAAATTTGTCAAAAGCTCTTATTAATCATTCATATTTTTTAAATGCAATTTTCCATCTTACGTTTCAACTGTTCGGTTTATATAGAGTATTTAATTTTCAAGTCCGACTCGGAAAATAATTATTTTTTATACATTTTCATTCACCAATTACTTTAATACGAATAATAATTTTTTTTAAATACTTTAATTTCATAATTTATATATTTTTTTTACACTTTGCATTTCACTTTCCTATTTTACGTACTTATAAAGTGTTTGCAGGCAGGATATAACATATAACAAATAAATATAAAATATTAAAATAACACATAAAAAAGGTAATGGTCGCAAAATGTTTTTCATTGTGTTCGGCAAATTCCTATAAGATAGAAAAATCATATGCAGGGATGCTAATTAATAGGAAGATACGGAAACCTTTGTTATAAACATAAAATTAATAAAAGTCATAATAGCATATTCTTGTGATTTTTTAAAATTATTTAACAATATATTTTAGAGACATGTATAACATTTTCAGCTATAACATTAAAGCTTTTGTAATTAATGTATCATTTATATTGTATTTATTTCGTTATTTCAATTTGTGTTGCTATAATTTTATTAAGATGGAAAGCACGATTACCTTTTAAGTGGAAACTCGACTACTTTTTTCTAAGTACCAATCTCATTCAAAACTGAAGGAGTAAAACTCAAAGCGGTGTTCTTTTATTATAGTCTATGATATAACCTTATAAAGTAATATTTTTTTGATAAAAATATTTAATATGGTTTTACAATCATTAAAAGCTAAATGAGTTTTATCTAGTTTTTTTATTTTTAAACATATTTTAATTAAAACTGTTTATATATAATATATATGCAATTAAAATAAGTATTACAAATTAATTACTTAAAACTGAAAATAAATACAACTAGAAAACTAATGCTAATTGATCTCTTCAGTGGAAAATATTCAAATAATTTTACAGTTATCTAAAATTAAGTAAAAATATTAAAAAAAAAGTTCGTAAATGAAATTGCAATAATGACAGAGGAAATTACGAAGCTTAAATTTTATACCAATAGAATCGAGGCTTCTATGTTGTTAAAATAAAAATGATTGGATTCATTTAATTTAATAAATTTTAATTTTCATTTATAAACCTGCTTATGGTCATAAAAACTGATTACGAGGCAATTGCAGGCGTTAGCGAGCGATAGGGAGTGGGAAATAAAGATCCCTTATTAAAAATAGTTTTCCAGTTGAATTTACTTTAATCAGTATAAGCGTATCTACTTTAATCTGTACAATATTAGTATCTTTAATTTAATCAGTATAATGCATATTATATTGAAAAGGTGAAAATTTAGCATTTATTGTTGAATTTAATAATTGCTCAATATGTTGATGAAATGTTTCCCCATTGTATCGAAAAAGCGTTTAATAAGAGTACCAACTTTTCTAATTTCAACCTACCAGGAAAATTTTCTTTTAGAACAGTCAATCCATAGTCAGCAGGAATACTATCAAATCCACATGCTCCAACAATATATATCCTTTTTTCACGGGCAGCATTAAAATACTTCATCTGTGTTTCTTCTAGGTACTATGAGAAAAATAAACACATTGGTAGTCATCAGTAACTCGTTTTAGAATACTTTTTTACCTACAAAAAGTTCTAGGTATTATAAAAAAAAAAAAAAAAAAAAAAAAAAAAAAAAAAAAAAAAAAAAAAAAAAAAAAAAAAAAAAAAAAAAAAA